AAAGATTCGTTATTTTCTAATGTACTCTCCGAGCAGCTAGCGCCCACTCGCCGAAAAAGACCCGCTCGACACACGGGTGAACGCGAACCGGGTGACGAGCGCTTCTACAAGGACTACCAGCCCACGTACAACGAGTTGGTTTTGGAGGTTTTTTGGGTCTTTCGGGCTTATTTTTGTTTTGTAGTTTGTTTAAATATGTCGTTTCAGATACGTCAGTTCACGACCCGACGCAGGTCAAGCTGAAGTTACATCGTGAAGCTGGACACGGACTGGGAGGAGTGACGAGACCGAGCGGCTGCCGGGCTTCCCACTTCCTAAAGTCGAAAATCAAGTGCCCGACCGGGCGGAGGCGTTCTGAGGTGAGTGGAAACGTTACGCGAATTTTTCGTTTCTCTCCATTTTTTCTAATATCAATCGAGGAAATATTTCTGAACCGTTTTTTACTATTCCAGAACGTAAAACTTTACGAATTTTGATTAAAAATACAAAAAAATGGAATTTTCGACCAAATTTCAGCTAAAAAGTTTTCTACTTTATTTTGATGGTTTTTCCCATTCAAATATAATTAAAGTTTGCTAAAACGCTCTTAGAACACTTATTATTCCGTTACTAGACATTTCTGGGCTTTTAGAAATCCTCCCTCCCCGGATAATTTAATAATGAACCTGCAAATTCCTTACATAATTCTGAATTTTCCAGACCGACGAAGAGTCAACGTCTGAAGAAGATGAGGATGACGACGAGGAGGATGAGGATGAGGACGAGGATGAGGAGCAGACCGACGAAGACGAAGAGGAGTCAGAAGAAGATGCCGGCGCCGCAGTCCCCGACCCGAGCCCGAAGCGATAGTAACCTTGCGTAGCTACTTTTCACGGTTTTTTTGACCGTTGTTATCCCCGGATTGTGCTTTCGCCCCCAAATTTTAGCTGTTGAATTTTATTTGTTGCTTTTGAAGTTCGTCACCCGCTGTGGTTCAAATCCCTTGCCAACCCTCGACCATTTTGCCATTCCGCACTTTCTGCCCGCAATTTCTGGTGACCTGTAAATTGTATTATCTCGTTGTTTTGGGGTCATTATGGGTTTTTCGCGTGCTGGTAGGGGCTGTTGCAATTTCCGAAAGAATCGCTGCTAGCCTGCCTTTTGTACGATTCTTTTTACGCGATTTTCTAGTTTTTTTCAAATCATGGAGTTTGAAAATTCCTAAATAATCGCTGCTAGCCTGCCTTTCTGCCTGATTTTTTTCTTATGATTCTTATTCATGACGTTAAGAATTTCCTAAATACGGCACTTTGCTTGGGCTTGTTTTTCCCAAGTGATCGTTGCCAGTCTGCCCTATCAGCGCGCCCGGTTCAACTATTCAACTACCATATCCTGTTTTGAAGCCTCCATTTCTTACCCTCCGCCCCCCACCCCACTTCTGCTGGAGCTTTTCCCCACCACATCTCCGACCAATGCATATTTGCGCAATCTACCTGTGCGTTTGTGATTTTATCGTTTCTCAAATTTTTTAGCCCCGAGTTGATAGATTGTTGTAATTTTATCACTGGTCCAATGATAATTCCATTCTGATGCCAATAAATTGTGACGTTTTTGATTCTTTACGTAGTTTCTAGCATGTATTTTTCGCTCTTTTTTCTCTCTCTCCCTCTCTCTCTCTCCCTCTCTCCCTCTCTCTCCTCTCTCTCTCTCTCTCACTCTCACCGTGGAAAAATAAAAATTCTCAGAAAAAAGTGAGGACGACATTCATCTTGATCTGGTGAGGGGAGGGCAGATTCAAATTTAGATACCACGAGCTCGGCCGCGGAATTTCGAACTTTTGATGGCGAGTCCAGATTGCGGCGACGAATTTCGGTGGAATATGGCCTCCATAACTTTTTTAACGGCTGAAAATCAACCAAGGTCGTCTGCAGAGCCCATTTCTCGTTGATACACTTCCGCTTTTCAGCTCTGAGGTTTTTGGAGCAAAAAAAGCGTGCCGCGCCCCCGTACATCGCGCTGCCCTAAAAAATCGGGGTTCGAACAATATGCGCTTTCTTCGGTGGTGTTGTCCCCCCGGTATATTTGCGTAACCTATTTTTTTTTCAGGGGAAGCTTTGTTGTTGCCCCGATTTCGACGGGAAGCTTTTGAAGCAGGGCGTAGTTTTTGGGGCTACGTCACAATTTCTGGTAGAAGTCTCGGAATTCTGGTTTTTTTTGGAATTCTGGAGAGTAAATTCTCTCTTTGGAAACAAATATAGCAGGAAAAATTACAGTTTTGGAGCTACCTCCCCTATGCTTATTGCTTGTAGGCGGTAGCTATCATGCTTTATTGTGGTTTTCCGATGAGTGTTTCTCAAAAGTTTTCAATGCTTCGATTTTAAGCCTCGTCTGAATCGCCCTTCCTTATAACTTTTTTCATGGGTTTTTAGCCGCTAAGCTAGCGATAGCATTTCAACGATACGCCGTCACAATGATTTTTTTGAGAAGGTATGGCATCGACTCGTCTTGAAATATACTTTTGGTTTTTGAAACCAAATACGTGTTTAGAGTTTTAATACCTGACGGAATATAGCTAAAATGCTAATTTTGTACATTTATCGAAACGTAGTTGCATTTCAATTCATGTCCCAATATCCACAGCACATTCCTGGAATGACGATATCCCAGTGGCCCCCGCACTCAACTAGCGACCGTTACGCAGTGACCAAGAAGGACAACACGATCTCTTTTTCGCTCTATCGGGGCTACAGGTGGAAGGGGAGAGAGAGAGAAAAAGAGAGGGCAGCGACAGCAACTAGTCTTGTTTCTTTTCTTTCTTTGGCTCGTCTCCAGCCAGTTAGTCCATTCCTGCCTCGCACCACCATTCCTCATCTATCTTGACTCATAAGCATGCTGCTGTGCTCGTACTTTCTCAACTTGGACGACGTTTCTTGGAGAAATTTGTCATTGAAACACCTGGAGCTTTATTCCTTCAAAAAATATCTCTCTCTCTGTCGGTATCTAGACCTCTCCCCCTTGATTTCTCTCACGCTCTCTCTAACTCTCGTTAAATTTTTATATCTTTAGCTATTTCTCGCTTTCTAAACATCATCTGTTTCGCTCACTTTCTATCTTTCTCGCTCTCTCTCACTGTCTCTCACCTTGTCGCAAGCTCTCTCTCACGCTCTCTCGCTTTCTCTCTCCAGTTGTCTCTCGTTTCCTAAAATTTGCCTTTTTCTTTCTCGTTCTCAGTAGTTAATTATCTCTGATTTTTTTTGCATTTTAAAAGCTGTGCTAAAGCCGTTTTCAGGCCTTTTTCACGTCAAAAATTCACATATTTTTCTACCACCCAGGCTGCCACTTAACTCTAGTACCCACAAGTACCCTTTTTCCGCAAAGCCATTGAAAATATCTCTCCGCCGGCTCTTCAAATTTCGAGTGAACACCTTGATGATGATGGGGCTCAGTGAGTGAGGGAGGGACCGAAAGGAAGACTGAAAAAAGATGAAAATTCCCTTTCGGGACTCGACTCGGGCGTGTAAACCCCTTACGGGAGGGAAATCCTCGGTCTGGAGGACACGCGCGGTCAAAAAGTGTTTGTGTGGGTATTTGCCTGTTTGTGTGTCTGTCGATTTCGGGTGAACGTTTCCGGCGAACGCCCACGTGTTTTTCGGCCCGGGAAATTCGGGTTTAAGGCACTCATTTTGAGTGTGGAATGGTGGAATCGACGTGGTATCTTTTGATTTCCACAAGTAACATTGCTCGCTTGCCAGATCTGGTTATATTAGTTCTGTACTACCATTCCTCAAAGGATCTTTGCTAGTCTGTCCAAGTTTATTGAGCTTTTGTAACATATGCAAAACCGACCTAAACAGTTCCTTCTAGCGCTTGTCGATTTGCTGTCTGAAAAGAGGATCTGCTAGGATGCCCGGTATAACGAAACGCTATGTTGAAATTCCACAAAGAACCTCTGCTAGCTGCGGCGACTCTTGCATTCCTCAAAGAATTGGCGGTTCCCTACTACCGTCCTCAAAAATCTCCGCAAGCTTGCCTCTTCTTACCGAATCACTGTCCCCATTCCTCGGGGTTTTTCTGCTAGCTGGCCCCCGCTGGTCTATGGTTTTCTATGAGAATTTCTCAAAAAACCTCTGCTTGTCAGCCCGGCCTCATGAAGTGAGCTATTTAAATTCCTCAAAGAATCGCTGCTTGCCTACGCTCTTTGATTAATATTTCTTTTTGCGCAAAGAACTTTTGCTAGACTGCCAAAGTACTGTGTACTCTACGAAACAAGCGTCATAAAACCGGCTAGTTTCAGGTTCCTCAAAAAACTTTGCTAGCTTGCCCTGTTCGATGGAGTAACATAAATGTTAACAAAACTCCGAACTAGACCAGATTAGAATTCTGATTTTTCCGATAATCTCCACTAGGTGGCCTACATTTTGGAAAAAAATTACATATATTCCTTTTCGACAAATGGTAAAACATTAAAGCTGTTCTTTACTACCATTTTGGCACGGTAATAAAATTGTTGTTGTGCTTGGAATTCCTCAATAATCGCTGCTAGTTGACTGCTCTCGCCATTTATTTCCTTTCTCGTCCTTGATCTTTACTCTCAATTCTCCAGAAAATTCGAAGAGCATCGCTGGATCGTGTTTCAGACACTTTCTATTCTCCAAAATTCCGAGCACCTTGCAATTTGAAATCGTTTTTCATCGGAGCGTCTCGTAGTCCTACTACCACTCTCTCGCCAGGCGCGAATTTCGCGCTCTGCTGCTTTTTGGTGGGGGCCTCGAAAACTACCTTCCGCTATTGTTCGGCCAAGGGGGTTGGGTCCTGGCAGGATTGGGGGAGAGATGTGAAAATGTGTATGTATTGGATTGGATTCGAAGGGATACTTTGGGTCTTTCATGGCGGGAGGAAAAACTCGTTAATGCATTTTATTGGTGGCCTGTCCGGGATGCTGCTCACTTGTGGTCTGGTGCTCAATATCCAGCAGAAATTTCAACTTTCTTTGCGGGGCCATCTTTAAAAAAATTTATTATTTACAAAAGGTCCAGGCAAATCTCACCCTTTCTCTTGCTCGGACGCTCTTCTCTACTTTCTTTCTTCTTTCTTCTCTCTCTCTCTCTCTCTCTCTCTCTCTCTCTCTCTCTCTCTCCCTCTCTCTCGCGCTCTTCCTCTCTGTCGCTCTCTCCTGTCTTATGACCCAATGCCCTTATAGAACACAGCGTAAGTGTCTAGACCCAGTCGGCGATAGGCGTCGAATTTTGCACTTCCTAGTCCCTTTAAAAATGTTTTTCAGACAAAATCCCCTAAAGACAACATTTCCTACCTTGATCTTCAATTCAAATCTTGAAACCCCCTGAACATTCCCCTCATCTTCCCTCTGCTGCACAGTCACTACACGGTCAAGGTTTATGGGTTTCGGCGGCTCGTCCCGGGGCCCGTTTCCGAGCCGTTTTTTACGGATTTCCGCGCGCCGTAGTTTCCAACGTTATTTCGGGTCGTTGAAGATAGAAACATAGAAACCATTAGGCGGTAGTTTGGGTGCGATTTAGAAATTCAGAGCTTAGAAGTTTTATCCGACAAGCTCTCGGAAGTCATTTAAAGAGTGTTTCACTCAAAATTTCGATTAAAAAAGCTATATAAAAAATTATGGGGCTAGCCGGCATAGAAACGTACTCTTTCCCGGTCAGTTTTCGGCAAGTTCGGTTGTTTCCCAAAGTCCGTGAAGTCAATTTCAATCGCGCGTCAGACCATATTTTGGTGTGGTGCCTTAGCTGTCTATATCCAGCCCAATGAAAGGGTGGATTTTCACGCTTATTCGTTCCTTCAAAAACGTTAAAATTCGGTTTTTTTTAAGATATATTGCTGCCTAAAGAACGCTG